TTTTAAAGTGGGGGAAATGTTTGATTTTTGCCGATGTTAAAAAAGTAAACAAATGATGTCTTTTTTCCAAATAAATGTCCAAGTGCCATTCAAATTGCAGTCATAAAATGGGTTTTGACATTTTTTATACTATTATTGAATTTTTGCAGTATCTGCATGTTTGAATAAAAATACAAAATAGAAACCCAAAATCAAATAGAAATTGGAAACAGACGATGAACAAAGAAAATGTTATTTTAGACCCAGGAATGTGTGCATTGTTCATTCGGACCCTTTTTTGAAATAGATTTTTTTAATTTGTAAAATTTGGGCCAAAATTTGAAAAATTTCGACTATTGTTTATTAGGTATTTAAATCGTAAATGGGCAGTTTCCTTTACTCATTCATAAAAAAAAGGATTCTAAAAAAATAGCTACGATTTTGGTCGCTGGAAAAATGGATTAGCCAAAAATAGGGCTCAGTGGCAAAATCACCGATTCAAAAATGCCGAGTCGCTAACGTTGCGAGAGCGTAATTCAAGTTTTCTATCAAATTTCATTTTGGCATCTTAAAATCGGGGAAAAGTTTAACATTTCTAAAATTTTATTTTTTTTTTTTTTTTTTTGGGGGGGGGTAATTTTCAACACCAGGAGACCCAGGTTTGGGGGGTTGGACAGTCCGGTGTTTAATGAAAAAAAAATTTGTCCCTTGTTTTTAACAAGAAAAAGAAAAAGAGCTCCTCCACTACTTTCCCCCTACTACCTTCCTTGTCTCATACCTGTCTGCTTGCTAAATACTGTCTCCCCCTCTCCTTTTTTAAAGTTACTTTGTTGATCCAAAATTTGGGGGCGAGTCACGTAAATTTTTCTCAATGGCGGGTTATTTTATGTATTGTTCCATCCCTGTTTTGTCCTTTGTTATTTGAAGTGTAACACCTCTTCAATGAAAATAATTTTTTCATTATCTAGGTGTTAAAACATTAAAATAAATAAAACTATTTGGAATCGGGGGCTGTTGCTCACATTTAGCCACTGTTGCCAAATAAAAATAATTTCTTCCCCCCAAACACACAAACATCAGATTTTTTTTGCTTTATTCCCCTTCCTTTCTTCTAAAAAAAACAAAAATTTTATCATGCATAATTTTTTTTTTTTTCTGAGTTGCAACATTTTAAGGGGGAATGTTGACTGCTGAAGAAGTCACTGCAATGGCAAAAAATTTATTTAAAGGATGCAAAGGGGCAAGACTTAGTACAGTCAGCCACCAAATCCGCCTAATTTTGACTAGCAAATTTCAAAATTTTAAGAGTAAACAAATGAATCACCATCAAATACTTCCCAACGGCCAGTCTAATAGTCACAAATGGGTTGATATTTATACATTACAATAAAGCAGTAGTCTGCATAACAGTAAATTATTGTTGTGGAATAAAAATTCAAAATGGAAAGAGAAATAAGAGGATCTGGGAATTTTACTCAAACAAAATTTTTTAGTGCCAGGATATCTGCATTGTTTATTCTGGGCCCTATTTTGAAATTGGACTCTTCCCACAGGGTTTGGTAGATGGGAAAAATTGGGGAAAGGGGAAAAAAAAAAGGGGGGGGCATAATGTGGGTGAAATTGCCAATATGTAAATATCGCTGTTTGGGTTAAGTGTATTTTAACCTAAGCACTAGTCCAGCAAAAAATCACTAATCTGGCACCCTACAGGTCCCGATGATGCCGGATTAGTGATGGTCAACCTGTACCTTAACAGGGGTAAGAAAAATGTAAAACAAATAGAGTGGAAGACAGAATAATGAGACTATCTCGTATGCCTGTAGCTAATGATAGGTAATTAAGCATTTCTGATTTAAGCTGAATAAGTACATTTCAGTGATCAGTCATTACTTGCTCAGACTATAGAAAAAAAAAAAAAAAAAGTTATATGGAAAGTATAACTGTGTGCTCACCTGTGCTGGTTTTAATCAGCAAACCAAAATCCTCTTCCAACGTGCCACCCAGGTCTGGTAAGCTGCCCGTGAGGCATCTTGGTGCAGTTATAATGTAAAATGTTCATCTCTGACCAATAATTATCCTCCATTATTCACAAGTCAGATTATTTCAACTTATCATTTAAGCTCCAGGTTTTCACTCGTTCCTCTACAGTGTTTCTTAATTTAGTCATCCTGCAAGCTTTGGCTTCACTGCTGTTCATCCTCAAGTGTCAACCTGCTCACTCTTCTTTAGTTATTGTCAGGCACCTGAAACAGATTTAAAAGTTTTTACACACTATCATGAGGCACTACTTCATGCCAGTCATTCAAAGGAGCACTAAACCTGCATCATGCAGCACCTGGGAAACAGGTGTGAGAGTAAGATCGTAGGTTGCTCCATTTTCTTGGAACAAAAACCCTTAACCAGTATCAAGTACCTTTCAAGGGAATTCAACTTTCATCAAAAACAAAAATATTCAGAGGAAAGGAAAGATCATAAATTACTTCCATGATAGCAATGGTAAACATGGCATGGTAATAAACTACAAATTATCTATGGAAAATCTTACCCCAGGTTGAAAGTTCATTTTGATACACATGATTGTTCCCTAATATTTAGTGTAACCTGGGCATGAAACTGAAAGAACATTCCTTCCTTCAGGGATTAACAAGGAATTATCTACCAATCTTAAATTTGACAGCATAACTCCCAAATCAAAACGTATTTGGCATTAAAACAAAATTTCCTACCATTTAAGAAGTTAATAGTTAAAAATATTAAGAGCACTGCAGCAGGCCTACTGGTCCATGAAAAGCTATTCCAAACTCGCACCCCACTCGTGTATTTTATCTAACCTATTTTTAAAACTACACAAGGTTTTAAAGCAGAAGTTTTCTCCATTTCTAAACTATTACCAAACCATACTTTCCTATAAATTTTCTAGGGGACAAAATTCATAAGGCATCTACTTATAAAAAATGTTGTGCAATGGGAGATTTTAACATTCATTAGAACAATGACAGGAAAGGGGTTAAGCAACTTTATTGATAAGTTTCAGGATTGTTTTCAAAAGGGCATTTGTGACAGAACTAAGTAGACAAAATAACCTGCTTGAATTCGTCCTGTCAGCAGGGAAACGCCAATTAATAATAGAGGTTATTGGCGACTTGGGAAAAGTGATCACAAATCACTCAGTTTTAATATTGTGGAATTACCCTAAAAATTTGGCAATCAATCTGTCCCTGACTTCTGCTGGATTGACTTCATAGGACTGAAAATTACCTGGGTGGATTGAACTGGAATGATCGACTGGGTCAGGTGGGAAGGGACTGTTGCCAATATGAAAATTCTCCAAGAGCATTTTTTCTAAATGCTCAGACAACTGCTGAAATAGGGGAAAATCGGATCAAATAAAAATGATCCTAAATGCATAAATAGATTAAAACGTCCAATGGTAGGTGTATCAAAAGGGGGGCAGTTATGAAATCAATCATGAACATTCATTTAAGCAGAAAAAAAAACAAGGAATAACTAAAGCAGAAATAATAAGGTTCAAGTAAAGGGGAATCAAAGAAACCCAAAAGGATTCTTTCAGGTATCCCAGAAATAAGATTAAAGACAAAAAGGCCCATTTAAAGTTACCGGGTCAGCTCACAGACATGGTAACGAAATGTAGAATTTTTACACTACTGTTTTAACACAGGAAAAATACTAGCAATATTCTAGAAATAAAATTATGTAGAACAGGACAACAAACTATCACGATTAGGGCAACAATGACATGGTCCTTAAGACAAATTAAAGCCTAACAAAATCTCCAGCCCCTGATGAACTATATGCAAGGGTTTTAAGTAATGTTAAGTGAAGCTTAGCAAACCTTTGGCTAACTTTTTCAACAATCACTACAAACTGGCAAAAGCGCCAGGCAAGTGGAAAATGGCAAATACGATAGCGGACCTTGGTATATGTCCACCTTGAAATGAGTCCAACTTGGTTATACGACCTGTTTGCACAAAAATTTTTGCTTGGTATACTAAACCCTTTGTTTGGAATACGACTTGCATGGTTAGAAATTTAAGAGTCGAGCAAGTTGTGTTTGGGCCAGTGTAAAAAAAAGTTTAGAGAAAAAACCTACCTCTCGGGACCCTCCTCAATGGACAATGCTCCAGCTCACCCCTCCAAGCTTGCAGGACTGTGCTGCTGGAGTTTGACTTCATCACTGTAAAGTGCCCCCCCCTTAACACTACTACACATCGGCCATGGATCAGCAGGTCACAGTAATGTCAAGAAACTCTACACTAAAGCTCTATTCCCCAAAAGGGGCTTTGAAGTGACCTCAGAGTTAACCCCGAGTTTTGGAAAGATCACTACTATCGCCCACACAAACCGACAGTCTGGCAGGAAGTTTCAAACAGAACAATGAACTCTGCTTGAAGGAATTGTGGCCAGAGGCAGTGGCTGAAAAAGGGAACTGACTAAAGTGGGGGGATATTGTCTCTGGGGAAGTCCATGGGTCTGGGGTGAGAGTGAGGTGATGTGGATGATTAGTGGAGAGGCACAGGGAAGAGCTGACCACTGAGGAGGTGCAGGAACTGGGGGAAGAGCACAAGACACTGATGGATGTACTCTCTTCAGGTACTGAAGAGAGGAAGACCCTACTTCATTTGCCAAGTGGATAGAAGACAAAAAATTTTTCAGAGAAGTACCACTTCAACAAAGCCCAAACAAAGCCATAATAGCATCTGGAATGACCAGACTCACATTTCCAAAACATCCCCGAGAAGGGAGAAGCAAAGATCTTTGGGCAGATTTTTAGTAAAAGTCAAACCTGGGGGAAATTCAATCAGGTCCAAATAGGGAAGAACTAAAGAGAAGGAGACCCTTTCCCAAAAAATAACATTTCCTCTTCTTCCCTTCTCAGCACTATCCTAGTAGGCACTCAACTCTACAGCTAAGTAAAGAAAGGTTAAATTTGCATTTATTTCATCAAATTCTTTTTTATTAGTGGAGCATATGGATGTAAAAGTTAGGAATGAGGGGGGGGCGTAGGGGGGTGAACTGGTACATTTGGTTAAGAGACGGGGTTTTTTGACTTTCGACGTCAGGTACGAACTTGAAACATGGAAGGGAATGCGAGTGTGGTTTTTAATACAGATAGCATGGGGTCAGGGGATGGCAGGGTGGCTTTCTGAAACGTCTTTTGGGCCCGGTTGGTGTTGTTAATGATTGAGGTAGTACTGACCAGTACATGTTTTATTAGGAGCCATAAGTTTTTATTGTGTAACTTAGTGCATGACAGTAAGTCGATAATGCTCTGGAACATTTTTAATAAATATATATATCTTTGAACATGATAATACATAAAAAAATGGGAATATGTAATTTGTGAGTGATTTACAATTTCTAGTGTACTGTTACCATATTTGTTGTATTCTTACTTTGTCAAATAATTGCTATCTATATATTGTTATAAGTTTTTTATGTTAGTTTTTATTTATACGAACAAAGTAATGTGTTGTGACGTCTAGTGCAAGTGATTTTTATCTGCACTGGGGAAAAGAAGTGTAATGTAAATATGATTGGATCATAACGAAAGGTCACTGATATGTAAAACTGTATTTAAAGCAGGAAGGATTGTGAGGATTTGTCAATAATGTTTTTTAATTCTTATGTAAATTTCATGGAAATCAGGTGATAATGTACACTTATAGCCCCGATAAGTATTTATATTATTATGCTTATTGTAATATAATTTTGAATGATGAAATGTAATAACAAGGTTTTTGCTTTGGACTCAAGAGATAAAAAGTATAGGGATGGGGATATTTGTAAGCACAAAGATAAAGCAGTATGTATTTAGAAAATGAAAAAAATTTATTTTTCTTTGGAGTCGATAAGGGGTTCTTATATTCCCTTATTTTATTGTATTCTAATGTATTTTTAAATTCAATAACTGAAGGTGGTTATGAGTGGTGACGGCAGACATTGTTACTAGGCAAGTGGGGGGGGGGGTTGAAGAGTCATCGGTAGTGTATTAAACCCACCACCGTGCACTATATTGATTATCATGAGGTATACGAGGGTTAGGGTGTGGATTGGTTTCATTAGTGGATGTGTGCCATCATGTTCAGATATTCCTTGTATTATAGTCAGCCTTTAGATGGCAGGATTGTGTTTTTAAACATGTTGTCAATGAAGTCCTTTAAAGCTCTTATAAATGTATAAGAGATGTCAATGAGTTTTACTAAGGAGAAAGTGGTAGTTTTTCAAGGGGGAGGGGGGGAGTGTAAGCTTTACTAGGTAAAGACTTTTTTTTATAAGACCATCTTTTCATGTGAAGTACAGTACATAAAAGTAGTGTTTGATTGGAGTGCAACAGCCAGTCTGAAGTCATTATATAAGTGCTTCTTTGGTATTTGTGTAGTAACTGAAGATTATCGTTTTACTGCCTGTATCTTGTTACATATTGATTATGTACCCATATATTTTGTACCAGAGTTTTAAATAAAATATAAAAAAAAAAATTCTTTTGTATTTATGTATTTTAGTAAATTTAAACAGTGTTTAAATTTTATACAACCCAATCAATGTGTAACATACCATTAACAGGATTTTTTCACGGGAACGGATTAATCATCTTCCCTACAAGTCTTAAGGGAAAATTCACTTGGTATATGTCCTGTTTAGTATACACATGTCTAAGGTCCTGGAACGGATTAAGGACATACCGAGGTACCACTGTACTTATTTTCAAAGCAGGTGAGAGGTCCTAAGCTTTGAACTATAGACCAATAAGCCTAACCTCCATAGTGGGAAAATTTATGGAATCAATTGCCAAGGCAATCTGTAGCCATCTTTAAAGGCATAAATTGATTAATGGATCTTGGCAAGATTTTACGAAAGGGTGCTCCTGCCTTACGAAGTTAACAACTTTTTTCACCAAGATATTTGAGGAGGTAGATCATAGTAATGAACATGACATTGTGTAAACGGGTTTCAGGAGGGCTTTTTGAAGAGTCCCACATCAGATACTACCGAGGAAAATTAAGGCACACGTTAGAAATATTTTCCTCAATAGACGCATGGTTGACAGGCAACAAAGTTTATGTAAATAGGGAGAAATCAGAGTGGGGAAGTATCATGAGCAGTGTTCCACAGGGGTAAGTGTTGGACCCCTTGTTCACAATCTACAAATGACAGACGAGGGCATAAATAGTGACATAAGCAAGTTTGTCGATGACACCAAAAGAGACTGTCGAATTTATTCTGACGAGGACATTAGAGCAGTCCAGGAAGATTTGAAGAGACTGATGCAGTGGTCAGAGAGGTGGCAGTGCAGTTTAGTATAGACAAATGCAAAGTTCTAAATATTGGACAGGAAAATAACTAACGAAAGTAGATTCCAAATAGTATTTGGGAGATCTGGTTAGTACACTAATCTAAAACCAAGACAACAGTGCAAGTGTTCGCAATAAAGTGAACAGAATCCTTGGCTTCATATCAAGAAGCATAAATAAGAGTCTTCAGGTTAAACTTTAAATTTGGTCAGGCCTCGTTTAGATTACACTGCAGTTTTGGCCATTAACAGAATAGATATAAATGCATGGGAAAATGGGGTAAAGATAACGTAAGAACTGTTGAAGGCCTACTGGCCCATACATACAGTTTAAGCCAATAGCCCAACCCAGCCAGCTCAGCTCACTTCCACTAAGGAGCACAGTATCAGAACCAAGAGAAAAAGCTGGTCTAGTCCAACTCGCACCCACCCACACTCGTGAATTTATCTAACCTCTTTAAAACTAACAACGTTTTAGCTTCGATGACTGTACTCGGGAGTTTGTTTCATTAATCCACAATTATTACCAAACCAGTGCTTCCTTATATCCAGTCTGAATCTGAATTTTTTCAACTAAAACCAATGCTGCGAGTCCTGTCTAGGCTAGATATTTTTCGCAAGCTATTTACATCCCCTTTACTTATTCCTGTTTTCCATTTATTCACCTCAATCAAATCCCCTTTATTTCTACGTCTTTCTAGAATGCAGATTCAGGGCCCCCACAGTATCCTTGCAGGAAAGATTTCTGATACATGGCATCATCTTTGCCATCCTCCTCTGAATGTTTCTCAGTGCATTTATTAAAACTCATCACCAGCATCAATGCATCTGAAGGGTATGCTCAATATTAGTCTACATACAATTTGAAAAATTTTCACAATGTTGAAATTTTAATGATGCAGACAATGATGCTTTCAGAAGAAATCACAGGAACAGTTATCCTAAAAAATTAGATTCACACAAAGTAACTGCAGTAGGTCTACTGGACAGAGAGACGTCCAACCCTCTCCCCTTCGTCCAGTGAGCAGTGACGACAGGAGCCTACCCCGGGTGGCGGCTGCCACAGCCTACCCCGGGTGGCGGCTGCCACAGCCTACCCCGGGTGGCGGCTGCCACAGCCTACCCCGGGTGGCGGCTGCCACAGCCTACCAGAGTGGCAGCCGCAACAACCAACCAGGGTGGCAGCCGCAACAACCAACCAGGGTGGCAGCCGCAACAACGTACCAGAGTGGTAGCCGCAACAACGTACCAGAGTGGTAGCCGGTACAACGTACCAGTGGTAGCCGGTACAACGTACCAGTGGTAGCCGGTACAACGTACCAGTGGTAGCCGGTACAACGTACCAGTGGTAGCCGGTACAACGTACCAGTGGTAGCCGGTACAACGTACCAGTGGTAGCCGGTACAGGAGGGATATAGGAAAGTACTGGTTTGGTAATAGAGTTGTGGATGAGTGGAACAAACTCCCAAGTACCGTTATAGAGGCCAGAACGTTGTGTAGCTTTAAAAATAGGTTGGATAAATACATGAGTAGATGTGGGTGGGTGTGAGTTGGACCTGATAGCTTGTGCTAACAGGTCGGTTGCCGTGTTCCTCCCTTAAGTCAATGTGACCTGACCTGACTAGGTTGGGTGCATTGGCTTAAGCCGGTAGGGACTTGGACCTGCCTCGCATGGGCCAGTAGGCCTTCTGCAGTGTTCCTTCGTTCTTATGTTCTTATGTTCTTACAACGTACCAGAGTGGTAGCCGGTACAACGTACCAGAGTGGTAGCCGGTACAACGTACCAGAGTGGTAGCCGGTACAACGTACCAGAGTGGTAGCTGGTACAACCTACCACTGGTAGCTAGAACCTACCAGAGTGGTAGCTGGTACAACGTACCAGTGGTAGCTGGAACAACCTACCAGAGTGGTAGCTGGAACAACCTACCAGGGTGGTAGCTGGTACAACCTACCTGGGTGGTAGCAGGTACAACCTACCTGGGTGGTAGCAGGTACAACCTACCTGGGTGGTAGCTGGTACAACCTACCTGGGTGGTAGCTGGTACAACCTACCTGGGTGGTAGCTGGTACAACCTACCAGGGTGGTGGCTGGTACAACCTACCAGGGTGGTAGCTGGTACAACCTACCAGGGTGGTAGCTGGAACAACCTACCAGGGTGGTAGCTGGAACAACCTACCAGGGTGGTAGCTGGAACAACCTACCAGGGTGGTAGCTGGAACAACCTACCTGGGTGGTAGCTGGAACAACCTACCTGGGTGGTAGCTGGTACAACCTACCTGGGTGGTAGCTGGTACAACCTACCTGGGTGGTAGCTGGTACAACCTACCTGGGTGGTAGCTGGTACAACCTACCTGGGTGGTAGCTGGTACAACCTACCTGGGTGGTAGCTGGTACAACCTACCTGGGTGGTAGCTGGTACAACCTACCAGGGTGGTAGCTGGTACAACCTACCTGGGTGGTGGCTGGAACAACCTACCTGGGTGGTGGCTGGAACAACCTACCTGGGTGGTGGCTGGTACAACCTACCAGGGTGGTGGCTGGTACAACCTACCAGGGTGGTGGCTGGTACAACCTACCTGGGTGGTAGCTGGAACAACCTACCTGGGTGGTAGCTGGAACAACCTACCAGGGTGGTGGCTGGTACAACCTACCAGGGTGGTGGCTGGTACAACCTACCAGGGTGGTGGCTGGTACAACCTACCAGGGTGGTGGCTGGTACAACCTACCAGGGTGGTAGCTGGAACAACCTACCTGGGTGGTAGCTGGTACAACCTACCTGGGTGGTAGCTGGTACAACCTACCTGGGTGGTAGCTGGTACAACCTACCTGGGTGGTAGCTGGTACAACCTACCTGGGTGGTAGCTGGTACAACCTACCTGGGTGGTAGCTGGTACAACCTACCTGGGTGGCAGCTGGAACAACCTACCAGGGTGGCGGCTGGTACAACCTACCAGCGTGGCGGCTGGTACAACCTACCAGCGTGGCGGCTGGTACAACCTACCAGGGTGGTAGCTGGTACAACCTACCTGGGTGGTAGCTGGTACAACCTACCAGGGTGGTAGCTGGTACAACCTACCAGGGTGGTAGCTGGTACAACCTACCAGGGTGGTAGCTGGTACAACCTACCAGGGTGGCGGCTGGTACAACCTACCAGCGTGGTGGCTGGTACAACCTACCAGGGTGGCGGCTGGTACAACCTACCAGCGTGGTGGCTGGTACAACCTACCAGCGTGGTAGCTGGTACAACCTACCAGCGTGGTAGCTGGTACAACCTACCAGCGTGGTAGCTGGTACAACCTACCAGCGTGGTAGCTGGTACAACCTACCAGCGTGGTGGCTGGTACAACCTACCAGCGTGGTGGCTGGTACAACCTACCAGCGTGGTGGCTGGTACAACCTACCAGCGTGGTGGCTGGTACAAAACCTACCAGCGTGGTAGCTGGTACAACCTACCAGCGTGGTAGCTGGTACAACTACCAGCGTGGTGGCTGGTACAACCTACCAGCGTGGTAGCTGGTACAACCTACCAGCGTGGTGGCTGGTACAAACCTACCAGCGTGGTGGCTGGTACAACCTACCAGCGTGGTAGCTGGTAACAACCTACCAGCGTGGTAGCTGGTACAACCTACCAGCGTGGTAGCTGGTACAACCTACCAGCGTGGTGGCTGGAACAACGTATCTGTGGTAGCTGGTACAACCTACCAGCGTGGTAGCTGGTACAACCTACCAGCGTGGTAGCTGGTACAACCTACCAGCGTGGTAGCTGGTACAACCTACCAGCGTGGTAGCTGGTACAAACCTACCAGCGTGGTAGCTGGTACAACCTACCAGCGTGGTAGCTGGTACAACCTACCAGCGTGGTAGCTGGTACAACCTACCAGCGTGGTGGCTGGAACAACGTATCTGTGGTAGCTGGTACAACCTACCAGCGTGGTAGCTGGTACAACCTACCAGCGTGGTAGCTGGTACAACCTACCAGCGTGGTAGCTGGTACAACCTACCAGCGTGGTAGCTGTACAACCTACCAGCGTGGTAGCTGGTACAACCTACCAGCGTGGTAGCTGGTACAACCTACCAGCGTGGTGGCTGGAACAAACGTATCTGTGGTAGCTGGTACAACCTACCAGCGTGGTAGCTGGTACAACCTACCAGCGTGGTAGCTGGTACAACCTACCAGCGTGGTAGCTGGTACAACCTACCAGCGTGGTAGCTGGTACAACCTACCAGCGTGGTAGCTGGTACAACCTACCAGTGGTGTGTACACTACCAGCGTGGTAGCTGTACACCTACCAGCGTGGTGCTGGTAAACCAGCGTGGTAGCTGGTACAACCTACCAGCGTGGTAGCTGGTACAACCTACCAGCGTGGTAGCTGGTACAACCTACCAGCGTGGTAGCTGGTACAACCTACCAGCGTGGTAGCTGGTACAATCTACCAGCGTGGTGGCTGGAACAACGTATCTGTGGTAGCTGGTACAACCTACCAGCGTGGTAGCTGGTACAACCTACCAGCGTGGTAGCTGGTACAACCTACCAGCGTGGTGGCTGGAACAACGTACCTGTGGTGGCTGGAACAACGTTCCTGTGGCAGCTGGAACAACGTACCTGTGGTGGCTGGAACAACGTTCCTGTGGCAGCTGGAACAACGTACCTGTGGTGGCTGGAACAACGTACCTGTGGTGGCTGGAACAACGTACCTGCGGCAGCTGGTACAACCTACCACTGCGGCAGCTGGAACAACAATGGCGTCCCGGCGTCTCCTCCGCCTCGCGGCTTCACTAACATTCATGATGGTTCTTTTTCCTTCTCTTACAAAATTATTCAACATTTGCAGATTCTTTACTATATTCTCTTTTGTCAATTGGAAAAAATAACAGTTTTTTAAATATTTCTTAAACGCTAGGCTTGTGATCATTATTTAGGTATATAATGTGTTCCATTAACTTCAAGTACTTTATATAGTATTTTTTTATTCATAAGCAATAAATTAGTTGTTAAATAACTCTTAGATACAAAATGTTGGATAAAACGTTGTTCATTCTACTAGTAATTATACTGAGGCGAGCTACCTTAGTTCAGCAACAACCATTGAGTAGTGAGGACGTGCGCTGCTCATTGGGATATCAACATGGCGGAACATACAGTACGGAGAGTGAATACTATCTGCATAGAGCTGGTTCGTGGTACGTTAAGTGGAGATACGATGAACGTCCTTCTCCCTAACATCATCAGGGATACATATGGTATTCCCAACGAGGAATTGTATGGCGTCGCCCTTAATGGTTTAACAAGAATCTTTGTGAAATTTCTACGAGTCGATTACTACACAAGAATTGTCGAGCATTACCAGGAACAACGCATGAGTGTGAATTCAACGATGGATGTTGTTTTACATGACGTCTCTAAGTACTTCACATTGGTGAAGGTACGGAATGTACCCTTCGAGGCTACGGCTTATGGCCGCAGGAGTTTTTTCGAAGTTATGGGACAGTGCATTCTGCAACAATGGGGGTGTGGAGGGATGGTCCATATGAAGGAATGCCGGAAGGTTCTTACACCCTTAAAATGACCCCTTTAAAAAGGCCTATACCATCCTATGTTACGATGATCGGTTGTAGAACACAGGTTTATGTGTACTAATGCTGGGCAACGGAAAACAGTTCGTCTTTGTAGCTCTTATGAGCACATGGCAGCCCAGGTCCTAGGAGGGGGCT